TGGCCGAGACCTCCGAGAACTCAAAATGAACACGAACATGGATGATCACCGAGTGTTCAAACGATGACGTCCAAGTCTTAAGGACGGTCAAAAATGGGGTGTCTACACTATGGCAACCTCTCTAATTGCCTTTTCATCTTTTCAGTCATATTCTTTGTCTAGTCCTTTCTACTTGTAGCATTCTAGATTAGTGCATTTGTCTGCTGATCGCTTACTGTCTTTAGCTCAGTTTGGTCTATTGGGTAACGTTTCTCCTACTAAACTTATTGAATGTCGGAGGTGTAAACTTGCCAATATAGCAGCTTTACTTTTTCATAAAAATACTTCTATATTTGATACACTATTTTCTTTAGTTCATACTAATGTTTGGGGCACTTCTCTTGTCCTCACCAAAAGGGGTTCTGCATACTATGTGTTATTTGTTGATGACTGTATCTATTACACTTGGGTTTATCTTATGACTTATAAGTCTGACTTCTACCAGATATATCGTACTCTCCAGTCTATGGTTACTACACAGTTTGGGTTCACTATTAAATTGTTGCGGTCTGACTTGGGCAGGGAATACTTTAAAACTGAATTCTGTGAATACTTGGCCAAATTGGATACCATTCACCAAACTTCTTGTATTGATACACCTGTCTAAAATGGTCGAGCTAAGCATAAATGCCGTCATCTCCTTGAGACAGTTAGGTCTGTCATTCTCTCTGCCTCCGTTCTGGCTCCATTTTGGGGTAAAGCCATTCTTACTGCTGCTTTTCTTCTCAACCGTATACTTACCTCCATTTTTTCTGGTCGGTCTCCGTATGAGGCTTTGTTTTCCCAATTTCCTAATTACTTCCTCCTTCGTGTGTTTGGGTCTGCTAGTTTTGTCCTTTTACCCCATAAAGATAGGACCAAACTTAATGCCAGGTCTGTCCTATATGTCTTTTTGGGTTATAGTCTCACTCAGAAAGGTTATCGTTGTTATGACCCTATTTCCTATTACCTTTATGTTTCCCACCATATTGCCTTTCTTGAACGTCTACCTTTTTCTCAGCTTCCTCCTCTCACCGTCCTAGTTTTCAAAGAGGATTTGGTTCATATTGATTCATTTTCTTCTGAGGTCCTGTCTTATGAGTACATCTCCACTGTTCCTCTTGAGCTTGTTACATTTTCTCCTCCTGCTTTACCTCTAGCTAATTCTCCTCATTTGGCTTCTTTTCTTCTTTTGTAATTAGTTTATTCTCATCGCAAGGCTCCTCCACCACCAGTTATCTCTGCCCCTGCTGCTGATCCTCCTGCTTCTGACGACTCTGATCCTGCTGCGCACTGATATCCTACTTGAGCGCGTCATCCTCCAAATAGGTTAGGTTGGTCTAATACATGTTTTTCTGCTTTCTATCATACTTTTTTGTTTGTTATTCACTCTTTTTCAGAACCTCAGTCTAAGGAGACTTGTTAGGATCCTCATTGGGTTTAAGCTATGGAGGATAAGTTGTCTGCTCTACAGAAAACTAGTACTTGGGAGTTGGTTCCTTTGCTTGCTGGTAAGAATCTGGTTGGTTGGTTCTAAATGAGTTTACAAAGTCAAGACTCATTTTGATGGTTCTCTTGAGCGCTACAAATCTCGTCTAGTTACCAAAGGTTCCTCCTAGGAGTATGGTACTGATTATGAGGAGACGTTTTCTCCTATTGCCAAAATGACTACTGTTTGTATTTTGATCTCTGTCGCTGCTATTTGTTCTTGGCCTCTTTATTAGATAGATGTTAAGAATGCTTTTCTTAATGGCCTATCTCACTAAGGAGGTTTACATGCATGTTCTCTCTACCTTTTACCATTCCTCTAGCCACATTTGTCGTCTTCGGCGTGCTCTGTATAGTCTGAAGTAGTCTCCTCGTGCTTGGTATGATCGCTTTCAGACTATTGTTACCGAGCTTGGGTTTCATCCCTCTACTTCCGACTCTGCTTTATTTCTGAAACATACTTCGGCTAATTTTGTTGCTCTCTTACTATATGTGGATGATATGATCATCACTGGTTTTGACTCTTCTGCTATCTCTGAGGTTAAGTAGCATCTCTTTCGCACCTTCGAAATGAAGGATCTGGATCCATTACAGTATTTTCTTGGTATTGAAGTTGCTTCTTCTCCAAAGGGCTATTTTCTGTCTCAGGCTAAGTATGCTAATGAAGTCATTCACCGTGCTAGTCTTACTGATACTGAGGTTTCTGATACACCTATTGAGCTTAATGTGAAACTCAACTCTACTGATGGTGTCCTTCTGGATGATCTCACTTTATATCGCAAGCTTGTGGGTTGTTTAGTTTATCTAACTGTCACTTGCCCTGATCTTGCTTATGCTGTTCATGTAGTTAGTCAGTTCGTTTCTCCTCTTCACTCTACCCATTGGGTTGCTTTGGTTCGCATTTTTCACTATCACAGTGATACCATCTTTCAGGGCTTACTGTTGTCCTCTACTTCCTCTTTGGGCTTGGTGGCCTATGCTGATTCTGATTGGGCTGGTGATGTTTTTTGACTCTTCTGCTATCTCTGAGGTTAAGTAGCATCTCTTTCGCACCTTCGAAATGAAGGATCTGGATCCATTACAGTATTTTCTTGGTATTGAAGTTGCTTCTTCTCCAAAGGGCTATTTTCTGTCTCAGGCTAAGTATGCTAATGAAGTCATTCACCGTGCTGGTCTTACTGATACTAAGGTTTCTGATACACCTATTGAGCTTAATGTGAAGCTCAACTCTACTGATGGTGTCCTTCTGGATGATCTCACTTTATATCGCAATCTTGTGGGTTGTTTAGTTTATCTGACTGTCACTTGCCCTGATCTTGCTTATGTTGTTCATGTGGTTAGTCAGTTCGTTTCTCCTCTTCGCTCTACCCTTTGGGTTGCTTTGGTTCGCATTCTTCACTATCACAGTGGTACCATCTTTTAGGGCTTACTGTTGTCCTTTACTTCCTCTTTAGACTTGGTGGCCTATGCTGATTTTGATTGGGCTGGTGATGTTATTGATCGCAAGTCTACGTCTGGTTTTCTGTATGTTTCTTAGTGATTCCTTGATCTCTTAGAAAAACAAGAAATAATCTGTTGTTGCTCGCTCTACTGTTGAAACTGAGTATCATGCTATGGCTCATGCCACTGCTAAGATTGTTTGGCTTCATTTTCTCTTGTTTGATTTAGGTGTCTCTCAATTTTCCGACCTCTTTCTATTGTGATAACCGCAGTGCTGTTCAGATTGCCCACAATACTGTCTTCCATGAATTGACGAAACATATTGAGATTGATTGTCACTTTGTTTTCCAACATCTACAGTCTGGCTCTATCTCGCTTCCTTTCATCCCTTTGGCTTTATAACTTGCGAACTTATTCACTAACACTCACACTGCTGCTCGGTTTCAGTTTTTTCTTAGCAAACTCTCCGTGTTTTCTATTAAAACACCTTGAGTTTGAGCGAGGGCATGAGAATATGTTGTGTACATTCTTAATTTGGCATGATTGTGGTTGTACATATTATAGGCGTGATTGTATATAGGTGTGATTGTGTTTTCCTTTTTGGTTTAGGCTTGTGTTTTCCTTTTTTGTTTAGGAGTTAGGGCTATATAATCTAGGGTCTTGTTGTAATCAAATACAATTGAATATACAGAACTTCTTCAGAATTCTTACAAGAATTGTTGAATGTTCATAATTTATTAATATAGTTTCTTTTTTATGCTTGAAATAATATTTTGGTGGTTGATTGACATTTTGTGAAGCTTATTTGTAATGTTTGTTAGATTGTACAAAATAGGTCTAGCTGAATAAAAAAAATATATTGCATATTTTACGACAGGCATAATAGGTCGTTGTATTATATATTTTACGACAAGTAATGAGAGTTGTGATTTGTTCCAAGAATTAACGGCGTGTAAACGTTGTCCTATATTCAAGTACATCATAGACAACAACGTATTGACTCGATTGCATTATGAATTGTTCCAATCTCTTCATAACCTATGGGGACACTAATTATGTCCAAATTGATGCTTTCTTAGAGACAACATTTTGAGCAATTATAATACCTAAGCTCATTGTAACAACCCTGAACTATGATTAGCCACTAAACCATGATTAAAAGTGCTTAATGAGCAATTAAGATGAAATTCTGAATTAATTGCATGTGTATTACATTATTTGTATTTATATCTGTCTGCTGTAGAAATATCTGTTAGTGTTTCTGTTTTGTTCTGTGAATTGAAAGCCTTATTGGCATCCAATCACGAAATTGACTTGATTTATATGTTACTTGAAATTTTTAGAATTTTATGGTAGGTTTGATTGAAATTCGATTCGGAAACAAATAATTAGATTGAAATAATTGTGATTGACTAATCTTAAGCTAAGTTTAATTAAACTAAACTAAGTGGGCCTATATAAGGCCAAAATAGCCTCTAGAAACCATTTTGATCATCTTTGTACTTACCTAAACGTGGGAGAGAGAGAGAGACTTGAGAAAAGTTGAGTTCAAAGCTTGAGTATTGTAAAGACTTGGAGAATTTGACTTGGAAACTCAAACAATTAGCCAACTAGAGTTCAATTAAGCATCTAAGGTGAGCATTCAAGCCTCTCGTCTTGTAATTTAATTGGTTAGTGTATATAATCAAAGAAATTAGGCCATGAGATGTATGAATCGAACTAAGGAAGTATGAAAGAAGAGCATCCCATGCAAGCATGTACATTTCATAGAGTTTTGAGGTTGTTTTCAAAGATTTCCTCTCATGTATGTGGTAATTCTAGCATGGTTTTAAGAATTCATGACATTTCTCACCATTGGACCTCATTTGATCATGTTTTGGAGCTTTGAAGCCAAGTCACTACATGCAGGTTTTACATACATACAATTCTATATTAGTTTTGTTCAATTGGCAAAGCTTTTGGGCTTAATTTTGCGAAATGGTTTACAATTCATCATGTACAAAGAGTGTCTCAATGTTTTACTAAGTTTGGGCCCAAAAGAATGTGTTTTGATGCTTTGAAAATGAATTTTTCAACTTGAACATCAATTTGGAAATTCTAGAATTCTACCTCTCTGCTCGAGCGACAGATCCTGCATTCGAGCGACCACCCTTTGTTTTGCACTTCCGCTTGAGTGACCAAAAGTTGGCTCGAGCGTAATATACATGCTCCCAGAAGTTTACACATTTTGCAGACCACTCGAGCGACCAGAGTTGCGCTTGAGCGAAGACCTCAGTCTCACGTTCGAGCGACCGTGTGAGAGCGACCGTCAAGCGGCCGTCAAGCAGAGAATTCACACAACCAGTACTTTTGCAGAGTTTACAGACTACTCGAGCGACCGAAGTTGTGCTCAAGCGACCACTCTTATTTTTGAACCTTCGCTCGAGCGAAGGAAGTTGCGCTTTAGCGAAGATCTTGTTTTCAACAAATTTGACTAAGTGTCTTGACCCACATTTTGGCATTCTCATTACATCTTAGGCATTCTTAAGCCCTAATTAAGACCTAATAATGAGGATAAGACTTAGAAACATACTAAGAACGAAATGCAATAAGTTAAGTACTATCTGAGTATGTGTTTCAATATGTGTATTTGTTATGTTTGTGTAGGTCACGCGCCACAAGTTATCTGATTTGTCTGTTCTGTCTGTTTGCTTTGGAGCCATCTGTGAATAATAACTTAGTAAAGCTATGTTCAACTTTTTCTATTTTTTGTATGATAAAATAAGATCTGTTTTCTGAAATGATATGTTTTGTATAATGAATGATTGTCCAATTTCTAACAATGTATTCGTGGTATCCTTAGTATCATGTGATATATGTTAGCTGTTACCCAGTATTGGAGGTTTCATTATGGAACTTAGTATGTCTGTTATCTGTTACTCGTACCGGAGGTTCCATCATGGGGCTCAACATATCTGTCATCTGTTACCCGGATTCGAAGGTTCGTTTATGGAACTGGTTATACATAACCACTATCTGTTTTGTATCTGTCTGTATCTGTTCTGTTAGCGCTAATGGATGTACTACGTATGGTTAAGCATGAACTCTGATTTCTGTATATGAATATGAATATGTTTCTGATATGAACTATGATTTCCAAATCTGATATGGGTCATCATTCAATTAAAACTCTTTATTCTGTTATTATTCATCGGGCTCCCGTTCATTCTATTACTTATATATATAGGTGATCAGGCACGTGGGCCGGCTCAATGATAAATGCCTGGAGCTCTGTTTTGTCGGCCAATCCTTGTGCCTCCTGAGAAGGTTCCGGAAGTTATGTGGTCATGTTTTATGAATGTTTAAGACTTTGTTTTCTGTTTGGATTATGAACAAGTTTTCTATTTATCTGTATATTGGGCTAAGTCTCATTTTGGTTATATTTGTAATGATTTTGACGTAAGACTACTGTATTTATGACGTTACGTATATGTATATAAAGTTTTGAAATTTCTGTTCTATATATGTCTACATAGCTCAATGGACTACGTATGTTTTATATTTGTTTCCGTTAGCCCCTTAATTTGCTAATTAGGTTAAAGGCCTTCAGTAATCCGAGGGTTACTGGCCGGTTACAACGCTAAACTTGTAAAGGCAGGTTTGGTTCATGACACTCGTTTTAAGAACCAAGTGAATTCGAATGCTAACTATGATGTCATAACTTGGTTTACTCAGAAATCACTATACAAGCCTAGATAATCTCATTTTAAATTATTTTTCTAATTATTTGATTGACTCTTGAACTAAAGAGTTTTTAAAGTAGACTGGCTCTTGTACATGAGTTTTTATTTTTTGTAAATTCTAAAAGTGGGTAGCAAGTAGGTTGTGCAAAATACCGTCTAATTTACTAAAATTGTATTGATCTGCATCCATCCGTACTGTTCTATCCGTTAATCGCGGATTAAATTTTAAAATTTATAATCTGCCTTTGAAACCATTATACTCCGCTATAGTTAATACATATATATTTTTTAATCTCTAATAAAGTATCAAAGTAAAAATGAGTGTGAGAGATATGTAAGATGTGAAGTTTGTTAAAAATTAATAGTTATATATATGAAAAATACTATGTAAAATTAATTTGTATTATATATATGAAAAATAGTATGCAAATTAGTGTTATATATCATACAAATGCTTTATAATTGGTTAGAATATTTTTTAATTTGTTAATTCGCCCAAAACTGCCTAAATCGCGATTTGCCAATTTGCTAATCAGCCATTCAATTTATAATTTTACTCTCAAACCACCGCACACAACCTAGTAAGATCATTTTAATGTTTTGAAAGAATTTTCTAATGATATAAAATTTGTTGAAAATGAAAAAGTTTTTTAAGCATTTTGTTATTAAATCTTGATTTTTGGGGCTTTGATCGCAAATATCCAAAACCAAAGCACTAAATGGGCTCACCACACATCTTCATTTTTTTTTAGCCCAAAACAATATGTCGTAGCCCAAATATTTCAGACCCATTTCACTATGCATCTCCATATCAACATGTTATTGCAAACATTCTAATAAATTTTTTGAGACAATTGCAAGAATGTTGAAGAAACTAGAATGTGATTCTAAATTTATGATTCAAATAGAAAAGTAATTTCTTATTATTTGTTCTAGCATAAATCATATCTTTAAACTTAGTTGAAATTTGATTCTCTCACTTTTCCATGATAATCTTATATTCCTAGAAGAATGTTAGCTAATCAAGTGTAAAAATAATAATTTGGTCCATAATAGTTGAGTAGTGCTATTTAGGCCTATAAATTAGACCAACTTTTTAAATTCAATGATGTGGCAATCTATTAGAATATCCAAGTCAACTTTCTTTCATATCTTCTCTAATTGTTATCTAATTAATTATCCTTGAAAAGGACCTGGAATGTGAGGCTCAAGAACTTGTACATAAGCCTTATCATTTGATCCAAAAGCCCACAGCTCAACCTAGGCTTGCACTCGGCCCAGCTTGAGTGAGATTGGACTTGGGCTTGGGCGTTGAATTTGAAACCTAGCTAGGCCCCTAGGCCTGGCATGTTGGGCGACCATTTGGCCTGCCTAC